ACACATATACAGAGGCTTCCAAAGTTCATAGAAAATTGAGTTAAAAGATAACGGAATTTTTCCATGAACTTTTTGATAAATATACAGAGAGAGAGAGAGAGAGAGATGGAGTGCTGGTGTGGCCCTATAGAATAAGCACTGGGCTGCAAACCAAGATGTGGACAGTTGAACCCACCAACCACTGATCAGAAACCCTATACAGGTTCACTATGAGTTGAAACCAACTCCATGGCACATAACAACAACAACATATATATGTACACACACATACACACATAACTTTCCATTCTACATTTTCCCACATACATATCCTTTTCACTGCTTTAGGAAGCAGGTTCAAACTAGTTAAATAACTTACCCAAAATCATATGGTTAAGTGATGGGGTCAGTAATAATGCCATAATACAAAGAAGTAGATGTTAACTTCAATGGTAATGGAATTCTTAGAAATGAGATCAAGGAAGCATCAATACACATCAGGTGAAGTGACATGAAGGATGAATTTTCTAATCTCAGTAAACAATGTAATATCATTGTGTGATATTACAATGTAATGTAATGTCATAGAAGAAAAGAATGAATTAGAGGATCTTAGAGGCATATTTAAATTTTTTTGCCTTTGGGGATTTAGACGTAAGATATACTTTTCTCTTCCTCATCCTTTAGGTGATGATACCACGTATGCCATCTCTTCCAGTTGTATGCTTCTCAAATGATTCTACCTCTAACAGGGGACTGAGAGTAGTGTGGGTCCAGTGATAGCATGCTCACCTTCCACCAAAGCTTCAAGTCCAGGTTAATGCACTTCATATGAAGCTACCACCAATCCCTCAGTGAAGGCTTGTATGTCACTTTGATGCTAAACATGTTTCTGCAAAGCTACCCAACTAAAATGGTGACTGAACAGGAAGAAAGGCTTGGAGATCTACTTCTGAAAATCAGCCAGTGAAAACCCTATGTGTCACAGATGTCTAATCTTCAACCAACCAGTCATGGGGATGATGCAAAACTGGTTATGCCTGGAGTCTCCATGATTCAGAGGCTGCCTCAGTAGCACTGAACACCAACAACAGAGCTATGTGAAATCTAAAACTAGGTAATCAAAGAAAACCTGCTAGAGGAAGTGATGTCTAAAGCAGGACATGTATGTTGAGCAGGAGTTACACAGACTAAGAAGAATGTGAGGGAGACTACTTCAAGCAAAGGGACAAACATAAAAACAGAAAAGGAAGAAAGCACTGTGAGTTTGAAGAGATAAAATACTACACTATGGCTAGATTTTCAAAGTGATAGCAGTGGATGAGTTTGAGGTTATGTTGAATTTTGTAGGTGTGGTGCTGTAGGATAAACACTGGACTTCTAAATGCAAGGTTGGCAGGTCAAACCCAACAGCCACTCCTCAGAAAGCCTATACAGGGTCCCTATGAGTTAGAACTGACTCAACTGCACTTAATAACAACAACATAGGCACATACATTATCTGAATAAATAACAGTTAGTACTTAGATACTTATGTACCAGGAACTATGCCAAGTTCTCAAAGAAACAGATATTCTCAATTTATCTTTACAATAACCCTATGAAGTAGACACTATGGGGTAAATAAACTACTGCTACAAAATCATAGAAACCTTTATTAAGCAAAATTATCAAAATGTAAACCTATTATTCCTTGAGATACCATCCTTCTAAGTTTATGCACTTCTGAAGGTGATGTTTCTAAAAGGAGCTCTGGTAGTGTAGTGGTTACGAATCAGGCTGCAATCCGCAAGGTCAGCAGTTCGAAACTACCAGCGGTTCCGTGGGAACCGCTCCCGTAAAGATTTACAGCCTCGGAAACCCTGTGTAGGGTCGCTATGAGTCAGAACCGACTCCACGTCACATAACAACAAAAACAATAACCCTTCTCAGAAGAATTCTGCACTCATTGATTTACAGCACATCAAAATAGCAATTTTGCCATCTTCCAAGGATTCAAACTTGTTTCTATTTAATGTTTTTGGAGTTCTGGGAACAAAAGGAAATTTGAAGAGGCAAGATCCGGACTGTAATGTGAATAGAATCAAGTTTCCCAATGCACTTCTCATAGGACAACCTTTGCTAGCCTCAAAGAATGAGCAGGCATATTTTTCTCATGGAAAAAAAAATTCTTCAGCACAACTTTCCTGACATTTTTCTCATTAAGGCAGTTTTCGATTTTCTTAAAGCTACTTCATAATAAGACCCCGTGATCATCCTGAGTCCTTTGAGAAAATCTATCAAGATGACCCCTTTGAAATCCCAAAAGTCAATCTCCATAATCTTTTGAGCTGACCTCTCAGACTTGAATTTAACTGGCCCAACCGATCAGAAGTCATTGCTTTGATAGAATGTTTTGTTTTTTCCCTTGAAGGCACCCTCCTGAGAATAAGACAAGTGTTTGGCTGAACTTGTCTATTATGTAATAGAACCCTAGCAGCAATACTTTTTTATTTACTCTTATATTTTACTCAGTTTAAAGATGAGAACATTGGCAATTAGAATGGATGAGTAACTTGCATACAAGAGCATACAGTTCTTAAGTGACCCAATCAGGACTTGAAACAAGATTCTTAAACACATACTTCTCCTATTGATTGAAGGGAATAGAATGCAGTATTCTCTTTCTATTAGAAATACTTGACTAGAGGAAAACTATTCATGATAGGAGTGATTCATACTGATTGGTTACAACAGGAATTTCATTTCTTAAATATTATTAAAATTGAATAAGAATCACATAGCATGCAACTCTGGTCTGTGTGAAATTGATGCATATAAGTTCTAATGTTGGAGGAAAATATTCAAAGTACCATGGACTGCAAAAAGAACAAATAAATCTGTGTTGGAAGAAGTACAGCCAGATGCTCCTTAGAAGGCAGGGTGGCCAGACTTCATGTCTCATACTTCAGACATATCAGGAGGGACCAGTCCCTGGAGAAGGACATATGCTAGGCAAAGTAGACAAAGCAAAAGACCCCCAACGAGTTGGATTGGCACAGTGACAGCAACAGTGGGCTCAGGCATATCAACGATTGTGAGGTTGGTGTAGGATCAGCAATTTTTCGCTCTGTTATGTATAAGGGGCTATGAGTCGGTATCGACTGAATGGCACCTAACATGTGTGAAATGAAATGAATATCTGAAGTTTAATCTAAAAGGGAACATTGAATCAAATTAGTCCATTTGATCAGTCTACCTTTATGCAGACATTTGAGTACAGTGTAGAATACTCAGTAGCCATAGTACAAAATAATGCTTTTAAAGTTATCTAAAGTTTCCTTTTGAATCAATCAAGGGCAACTGAAAGTTCTGATTCAAAATTAAATACTTCATATAATGGTGGTTCAAGCTCACCAGCTGCTCCTCGGAAACCCTACACAGGGTCACTATGGGTTGGGATCAACTCAACAGCACTTAACAACAACAACATAAGTAGTATGTTGATTGCTATTATCAAAACCTTCCATTATAATTTGATCTGGTTGACTAGTTGAGATGGTCCTAGTCTTGAAATCTTTGTTATTTTCCTTCCACCCCATATTTTGTAAAATGAGCTATTTCCCATTATCCTGATTCAACCTCATGTCAGGTGCAATATACCCCATAAAGGCAGGAAAGATATGAGTATTAACATTAAATGCTTACTATCAGAAAGCATCTCTGCTTACAACCTGGAAAAAGGAAATATGAATACCACGTACATAATTCGGATGTTTCTTTCCACAATTTCCTGGCTAGGATCTGGAGAAGGTATGATCCTGGAAGTAATCCGGACACATTGACACTTGTTGTCAGCAATAACAGTCCATTTATCATCATCTTGGGCTTGAAAGGCATCGCATATTAAGAAGAAAGAGAAACAAAACTTTATTTATATACTTGGATTACTGTTTTTTGCCTTCATAAAAAGAAAGTTACAAGTTTGATTTGTCTCAGCTTTCTCCTTGTGTTCTCTTTTTTCATCTAAATAGCTAAAAGAGAATCTCAAAGGCACCAAAGTCAAAAGTTCACTTACAAACGATGAGAGATGGGGTGGGGGCAGAAGTAGGTGGAAGTGAGGGGTTGTATTTCTTAAGGAGTACTGAGTTTCTGTTAAGGGCGATAGAAAAATTTGGAAACAAATAGAGGTGATGGTTGCACAAAGGGGGATGTAAATAATGTCACTGAATTATACACATTTAATGGTTGAAATAGCAAATGTTTTGTCATACAGATTTAACCTCAGTGAAAACCAAAGTGGAATTTTAGTCTGAAAGAAATCCAAATGTAATCTAAAAAGAATTTTCTTTTCTTTACTTTTTTCCTTGATCTAGTCTGTAAAAAAATAAACTGAGTGAATTCTGGTTTTCACCTAATGCTTCTAATAGAGACATAGCTTCTGAATAATGTAAAAGTCACTGCCAAATGCCAGAGTAAGAGAGAAAACAGAAATCTACACTGGATTTCTTTCAGACCAAAACAATTTATTAAAAAGTGAACAAAAATAGACTCAGCTCTTATAAACCCAGTTTCAGATATCATATCCTTCTTTAACTTCCACTTTTTTCTTCTTCTTCTTCTTCTTCTTCAATTTTATTAGAGTTAAGAACAGGCATGTTTTCCCCCAGGATAACCTTATTTTATAAGATTTAAATATCACAATTTTCCTAAATAGACTTATATTCTTCTTTTTCATAGTGTTAATCAGGTTATTATGGCATAATTAATCATTAAAAATAACTGAGTCATATTTATTAATAACTCTTATGATAAGAATTATTTTAATGGGTAAATGTAGGTATACAATATTGTAAGTTTGTAAAAGAAAATTTAGAAAATATTGTGAGGGACAAGTTCTATTTAATATAATATATCTGTATATAAAAAAATGAATGAATGAATGTACAGATAACCATTAAAGTCTTAACTTTGAATGTCTAATCTTTTTATTATTGAATTTGAATCTTAGACAAAGACGTCTGGTAAATGTTTCAAAGAATAAGCAAAGAAAGTTTCTTATTATCTGACTTAGATCCACTAATACTTTGATATTTGGAAAGTTAATAATAGCTTTAGTTTAATAATACTAATTAAATAATTATAATGTTGTTAAGCATCTTTTTTATTCTTGTAATTTTAGCTAACTGGAATTTTTTAAAATTTCTCTCAACACACCTCAATGAATAAAACAAAGATTTCATACATGCATTCAAGTTATAAAGATTAGTTAGGATAGAATTCTAACTGAAAAATGCTAACTGAAAGTCCAATTATTCCTGAGGTGATTCCCAAACAGAAAGGACTTAATTACAGTATTTCAGTCTTAACAACAACAGGCATTACAAAGACATTTTAAAACCACTGTTGCTGTACTTATAATTGTTTGAAGTACTTTATAATGCATTATTATGCCGCTATTCTTAAATTCTTAATTAATCTTCTGACAGCTGTATGGTATTGGAGAAGAAACATTATGAAGTCAATTTAAGATAATATTATAACTCTTATTAATGTCCTGAAACTAGGAAGATGACCTAAATATGTCTTCTTCCCTACTTCTGTATCCATGATTCTTAAAATATTTTTTACGATAATATACAAATGAGCATATAATGCCTATCCATAATCTGAGATCAATAGTTGAGTAAATGATTTGACTGAGACGTTAAAAAAGAGAAAATACCTATGTGTTTATATTGACATATAATTTATTTCTTCACCAGGACCCTAGGAAGAAACTATCTCTATTTAAATTAGGCAACCTAACATATGAAAGGACTTCAAAAAGTTCATGGAAAATGCATGTAAAAACTAATGGAATTTTTCCACAAACTTTTTGAAACCCCCTTGTATTTATTAGAAAATGTACAACTGCTTTCAATTAACCAAGATTTATAGGACTCTAACATTTTCCCTCAAAGACGGTCGTTTTTCCTAATAAACCTATTATTATAGACTAGGCCTTACTTTATTCCTAGAACACCTGAGACATAGTAGGTGTTCAATAAAAATTAAATTAAGGTCAAACAAGAAAATAGACTTAACAACACATCCTAGATATGACCATCATTAGTTTACTGAAAGATGATTCCCTTCTGCAGGTAAAATAGGATAAGTGGTTTGGAATACGAGTTATAGACTCAGATTGCCTGGGTTCTACATACCGTTTCCTTCCTATGTGACCTTTGATAATCAGGAAATCTCTTAACTGCCTAAATGATATGTTGGAGATAATAATAGTGCCTATTCTCTCATGGCTACTCTGAGAATTAAATGGAATAATATATATAAAACTAGCACAGTGCCTAGAATATAGGCATGGTGCTGTGGGCTAATGTGCTGGCCTGCAAAGCTGGTTTGAACTGCAAGGTCTTAGGTTCAAGCTCACAAGCCGCTCCTCAGAAACCCTTTACAGGGTCACTATGAGTTGGAAACAACTCAGTGGCACTTAACAACAACAACTGTTATTATATATGTGTTTATATTTTTTCCTAACAAATATGCTTATAGATATAGAAACATGTTTATAATAAATATGTGTGCATATATACATGTGTTACTACTAATATTTTAAAAATCTTATTAGAAAGTTATTACTATTGATACTGGTAATATAAAATATGTATATATAGTGATTATTCTTAATTACAGTTCTATCATGCTCCTTCTTGAAACAAAAGTCATAAATCCGTATCAGAAATGATTAATACAGCCAGATTAAAGTCCTCTAATTTATGTGCCCTTCTGAGCAAAAAAATGATTTAATACTGAACTTTTACATGCAGGATAAATACAATTTTCTACAGTTATTTGAAAGTTCTATACACAAAACTATAACCAAAATTCAGCCATCAAGTTATAGATAACAAGTATAATATTAAATATTATAAAAGGATCATCGAAAATCTGTGGATTCAAACCCAGGAAATTTGTTAGAATTAATGTCAGTCTCTCTGGGGGAATAAAATCTCAATATATTAGATGTCATATCAACTGAAATTATTACTTCATTTCTCCAGAATATTAAGAGACTCAAGGAGAATTACTTAATTTCAAGATTCTATATTATGACTCATAAATCTGGCTACTCATAGTTATCCTGAAATAACTGTTTTCTTATTCTACAGGATGGAGTGGCAAACAAATAGAGAAAAAATAATCACATTGAGTCGTGTTCATGTAAAGATCACTATCCATGTAAAGATTAAGACAAAATAGGGGAAAAAATGGTTGGCTAGTTGGCCAACCAAAGCATAAACATATATACTTAAATCTGTAGAATAATTCTATACTGTATTTTACCTTTTGTTAAGTTCATTTTCCAAATACCACATACCTGTCACAAGAACAGCTTTAACAAAAATGGCCAGGACTCCCCAGAAAAGCAAATGGTTCTTCATCTTGCACTCACTTCTTTTGAAAATCTAGAGTTAAAAGGTCAGGGTTAAGGTGTGCAATCTATAAGCAGTGTGTGCAAATGAAGGCGCTTCTGCTTTCTTAAAATAACACCACAGGCAGTTAACAAACTAAAAACAATCACAACTGCGGTTGACATCTGAAATTTAAATGCTGCTTTGACAAAAAATGTTATTGCTTACAGTTGAGTATTTTCTTCCATAGCAGCCCCAATAGCCTTTGCTTTGATGCAACCTTTATTTATTTTGCATTACTCTGTGTAATTAAATCAGAAGACAGGCATCCACTAAGAATATTTAAATAGCAATTTCCAAATGTATTATCTAGATAGATCCATATATGTCTGCAAATCAAATGTGTGAGACTTGTGCCTGAAACAATAAATAAAGGAAAAGGAAGAAGGAAGAATGGATTAAAATCCTTGAAGGTCCTAATTGTACCTTAAGTTATTAGGTTTCTATTGGTCCCTAATTAACCAAGCTGACAGATGAATGAGGGTGTGTGTGTGTCTGTGTGTATTCTAATATTCTAATAACTTTAAATTTTTTATAAAGTCAATATGGAATTGGAATTAGAAATTGATGAATATTAAATGTATCAATTGCCACCTTTGAATTTGATGGAAACTTTAATTAAGGCAGACCTTGCATTTACCAATCTACTAATACTGATCAGAAGTCTAAACCTTGGACAGAACATCCCCCTATCTACTCCCCAATATGCTAGAATTTCCTACCTCTTACACAGGATTCATTCCCAGGTTATGTTGATTATATTTATATACAAAAGAATATAATATATGTTACTTTAGGTTCTGAACTCTCTAATTTTTGAAGATCTCCTAAAATTTTTCAAAGGGATATAATAGAAATACTTGCGTGACCATGTTGGTCTACCGATAAGGGGAAGTTGGGAAAAAATAGATATGAAGTCGTGAGCTAAATCTGACCACATTCAATGGACTCCTCTCAACCTGGTTTGAGACCTGGTTGGCCAGCAGTATAGCGAGACCTGGGGACTTCTGGTCCCCCAGCCCAGGACATGGCCACAGAGGACTAGAACGGAGAGTAAAGCATCCAGCTGATATGAAGTGAAGGGAGATGCACAAGAACACCCAGACTTGCAGATAGTACCCATTTGAACTGGCTTCAATGGCTGGATGATCAAAACTCTACTAGAGGAAGAAAGAAGAGGGAAAAAAGAGTAACCTACTACAATTGACCTATACTTGACCTATACTTATAGATGTAATAGCTCAAAAGAGGGAATGCATCTTTGCAAAGAGGATCATCCCCACCCCTTCGGTACACAGGGTTGACAGGGATGGGCAATGTAGACATTGGCTACTCAAAATGGGGAGCCTACAAAGACACAAAGTGGTTAGATTATAAACTTTCAAGAGGGAGCCTAGTTTTAGAGGGTACAGGGGAAGGCAGAATCTCCACTGAATGATTTCCAACCTGTCTGGACAGGGCTGGTGAAAAGAGATGGTTCAATAGTGAATCATTGCTATCAGGACTGATTGTGAGTGTTGCACATGTAAAAATAGATGTTTTGTAACAAAAGGAGGGGAGTGGTTGATATTGTAGTCCAGGAGTAGAGGACCCTGGGACCATCAAGGGAAGTAGTGACACCAAGAGATGGAGGCAGAGATGATAACATTGAGAGATGGAGCAGCTGGGGACTCTGGACTCAGGAAAGGAGAGGGGCTGTGTGCTGGTGGCTGGGGGGCAGGATTGTGGGATGTGCCCTTGGGTTGTTTGAATGGTTATATATTCCTGAGTGCTTTGGTGTACATCCAAAAAAAAATAGAGGGAATGGAAGCAAATGTTGTTGAATAATGATGCATGGAGGGGATTGTAATCATTGCAATGAAACAAAATACAATAGGAAGAATGTAAAGCTGATGTTCTCACATATAAACTATCACTCAATTCACAATAGAAACTTTTTTTAAAAAATGAAATACTTCAGGATCACAAATAGGCAAGCAGATTTCATAGATAGCAGTAAAAAATGGCAGAAAAAATATTAAAGGCTAGCATATAATTTCAATAATGTTAATTCAAGAATTATGCACTCAATGCCTAGAACAAAAAAGTGCCAGGTGCTAGAACATATAATATTACTATACTGTCGGACTTCACTCTCATTTTAATTTCTGCTATCAATAGGACTTACAAACTACTTAGATTTAAGGACAATATACTGGATTCACATGGACAATTCCATCTATTAAAAAAGAAACAGATCCGAAAGCACATTATTTTGGTTTCTAGTCAGTATGTTAAAATCAATATCAACCACAGTAAAAGCTCCTCACCCTACCTGTAGTTTCTAAACAACCGATTGAGTCTATCACTTAAAAAAAAGAAAAGGAAAAAAATAGGTGGATGTTGTGTTTTTCGTAATCATTGGTTCCTTAAAAATAAACTCAAGACTAAATTGCTTCCCTAAAGAAAATTAGACAAATCCTTGGTGTCAAATAAAAGCTTCCCATGAAGTTTTGTTTTGTTTTATATTTTTTTAAGTACAGATTATTTATCTGTTATGTTGTTGTTAGGTGCCATTAAGTCAGTTTCAACTCATAGTGACCCTATGCATAATAGAGCAAAATACTGCCCTATCCTCTACCATCCTCATAATTCTTGTTCCATTTGATCCCAATGTTGCTGCCATTGTGTCAATCTATCTCTTTGGGAGGAATTCCTCTTTCTTGCTAACCCTCCATTTTTCTAAGCATGATATTCTTCTCCAAGAACTGGTCCCACCTGATACCATGTCCAAAGTATGAGGGACAAAATCTGGCCATCCTGGCTTCTAAGGAGCATTCTGGCTTGACTTCGTCAAGACAGATTTGTTTCCTTTTCTTGAAGTCTATGGTATTTTTAATGTTCTACTCCAACAGATTATTTAATAAAGAATTACTAACTTAAAGAAAAAGGGAAGGTCACATGTTGGCACAAATAGTTTACACTAGTCTATTACATTGGCAGTTTGAACCCACCCAGTGGTGCTATAGAAAAAGCCACCATATTCCCTTATTTTTATTTTTTTTAATTGTTGGCGTTAAGTGCT